TAAGATTAAAATAAGCTTAAAACGAAACAGCACAGCAACCCTTTTCTGTTCATCTTGAGAACACAAAACCCTCTTTTGTTAAAATTCGGCGCTGCACAAAATCCTGGGTTTTATATTTTCCAACAAAATACCCCTTCGCAACCGTGGATTTTCACGAAGCGTTTCATTCGGGTCGTAGTTTGGCTACTTCGGGCCATTCGGTGTTGTATGCCATATTGGCTGCCATATTGTTCACACTGTCATCGCCATATTGAACACCCTGTCAACTATCTGTCAACCCTAAGATATCTCACTTGTATTCTTCCACAATGCATCACAAAACTGAAAACCAGACGGCGAGAAAACTCATAAGCTGTGTTTTCGTATTCTCCAGCAAAAAATATCCAGTAACTTGCCAGTAACCAAATTTCGGAGAGTAAGTCAATATTTACTCCCAATGAGTGAAATATGAAAGAAAGTACGAAAACGCAAAACCAGCAAGAAGCTGCTAGTTTTATGAACAGCTGATTTATTTGTTATTTTCCGATGTAATTTTATTAGAAAACTAGTATTTTCCATTTTATTATATATTTAAATGGGTTTATTTTGTCAATTGCAACTTTAAAAGCACCACAAACAATTATTTCGTTAATGTGAATTACATTAAGCATCATGCCATCAGCTGTTTTTCTTACTAGCAAATAGTTGCTAGTAAAAATTTATCCAGTAAAAATCCAGTAAAACTTTCAAGTTCAGCTGTCATTTTTGCTCTCTCAATTTCCCCTCTTTTGCTAGTTTCTTGCAAGTTTATGCGTACGAAAACGACATCCAGTAAAAAACCAGTAAAATTAGTACTGGATTTACTGGATAGTGCGTACGCGAACAGGGCTATAGTTTACGAGAAATTTGTTGTCAAAGTCGAAAATTTTACCTAACAAAATGTACGATAACAAACCATTTCCAACAAATACAAGTGTGCAGAAAACACACATTCCAACTAAATTAAGCTCTTTGAACGTTTATCTATTTTATATTTTATTAATTTCATTATTTAACGACCAGGAACAGGTTTATAAATTTGTTTACTTTCCTTTAGAGAGCCGAATTAGTATGTACATAAGTGTGTAAGTATGGACCATGATACAAAAAAGAAGGTAGTTTCAATAAACAATTTTTGACGGATAATACAATTTTTTGAAGTTTCATAAATTGAGATTATTTTCAACGGCCTTGCCACTTTGATAATATTAAAACAATCTATATATATAATACGCGAAGGCATTTTTTGTGAAGCATAAAAGATCTTTACCGTTCGCCCGATTTTGAAAGATGAGANCATTCGGTGTTGTATGCCATATTGGCTGCCATATTGTTCACACTGTCATCGCCATATTGAACACCCTGTCAACTATCTGTCAACCCTAAGATATCTCACTTGTATTCTTCCACAATGCATCACAAAACTGAAAACCAGACGGCGAGAAAACTCATAAGCTGTGTTTTCGTATTCTCCAGCAAAAAATATCCAGTAACTTGCCAGTAACCAAATTTCGGAGAGTAAGTCAATATTTACTCCCAATGAGTGAAATATGAAAGAAAGTACGAAAACGCAAAACCAGCAAGAAGCTGCTAGTTTTATGAACAGCTGATTTATTTGTTATTTTCCGATGTAATTTTATTAGAAAACTAGTATTTTCCATTTTATTATATATTTAAATGGGTTTATTTTGTCAATTGCAACTTTAAAAGCACCACAAACAATTATTTCGTTAATGTGAATTACATTAAGCATCATGCCATCAGCTGTTTTTCTTACTAGCAAATAGTTGCTAGTAAAAATTTATCCAGTAAAAATCCAGTAAAACTTTCAAGTTCAGCTGTCATTTTTGCTCTCTCAATTTCCCCTCTTTTGCTAGTTTCTTGCAAGTTTATGCGTACGAAAACGACATCCAGTAAAAAACCAGTAAAATTAGTACTGGATTTACTGGATAGTGCGTACGCGAACAGGGCTATAGTTTACGAGAAATTTGTTGTCAAAGTCGAAAATTTTACCTAACAAAATGTACGATAACAAACCATTTCCAACAAATACAAGTGTGCAGAAAACACACATTCCAACTAAATTAAGCTCTTTGAACGTTTATCTATTTTATATTTTATTAATTTCATTATTTAACGACCAGGAACAGGTTTATAAATTTGTTTACTTTCCTTTAGAGAGCCGAATTAGTATGTACATAAGTGTGTAAGTATGGACCATGATACAAAAAAGAAGGTAGTTTCAATAAACAATTTTTGACGGATAATACAATTTTTTGAAGTTTCATAAATTGAGATTATTTTCAACGGCCTTGCCACTTTGATAATATTAAAACAATCTATATATATAATACGCGAAGGCATTTTTTGTGAAGCATAAAAGATCTTTACCGTTCGCCCGATTTTGAAAGATGAGATGTCAAATTTAAGCGCTTGGCCTGTAGATGTGCAATAAGGTTTTACTTTTTCAAAAAGAGTTGCCACCCGATAAAAATTGCATTCAAATAATTTAATAATCAATGCCATCAGATCCACACCGTTCGTTCGATTTTAAAAAGTGAGGTTTCAAATCAAAGGGCTCTAACTATAGGTGTGCAATAAGGTTTTACTTTTTCAAAAAGAGTTGCCACCCGATAAAAATTGCATTCAAATAATTTAATAATCAATGCCATCAGATCCACACCGTTCGTTCGATTTTAAAAAGTGAGGTTTCAAATCAAAGGGCTCTAACTATAGGTGTGCAATAAGGTTTAACTTTTTCGAAACGAGTTGCCACCTTTAAAAAAATTTAGTTCAAATCTATATATATAATACGAGAAAGCATTTTTTGTTCCGCATAAAAGATCTGCACCGTTGGCTCGATTTTCAAAAATGGGGTGTCAAATTAAAGTTCTTGGCCTGTAGATGTGCAAACTGGTTTTATTTTTTCGAACAGAGTTTCAACCTGTAGAACAATTGAATATAAATTATTTAATTAGCAATGCCGTCATAACACCACCGTTCGTTTGATTTTCCAAAATAAGGTGTCAAATTAAAACTCCTGGACCGCAGATATGCAATAAGGTTTTACTTTTTTGAAAAGAGTTGCCACCTTTTAAAAAATTACATTCAAATTATCTGAAAATCAATTATTATTAAGGGCCGGTTGTTCAATGTCTGGTTATCACTACCACTACACTATCGACGATTTCGACATCATGCATGTAACATGTGATCGATAAAGCAGTAGTTGTGCTTAACCGGAGCTTCTACCTCCGATTTGTGCTAATCAGACATTGAACAACCGGCCCTAAATGGCTATCAGTGGAAAGGGTTTTGAAAATATTTGTTTCTTAACTTTAGGAGGGTTGCCACCTGTTTAAAAAATTAAATTAAATTTGAATTAAGAAAATTAATTAGGAGAAATATGTTTCAACATATGGATGCCTAACGAAAGGGGCCTCAGAAGGTAGCCGTTTGAAAATATTTTGAAGAGGGTTGCCACCTGCTTGCAATGTCGAATTTAATTAACTTATCCAAAAGTTATGTGAAATGTCAAAATAATGATGTCAAACGAAAGAATATTAAGAAGACTTTAGTTTTAACACACAAAATATTTTTGAGGTGTTTGAAGAGGGTTGCCACCTGTTTAAAAATTAAATTCAAATTATTAAATAAGATAAATAAATTAATAAAGTATGAGTATCAATCGAATGGGGGTTGAAAAATCTTTCTTTCTGAACTATATTTAGCGGAGTTTCCACATGTTTAATTTATATAATTCAACTTAATTCATCAGTTAATTAAAATATATATCGCAATATATATATATATATAATACACGAAAGGACTTTTCGTCCAGGATTTTCAAAAATGAGGTATCAAATTAAAGGGCTTGATTTGTAGATGTGCAGTAGGTTTTTACTTTTCCGAAAAGAATGTCCACTTTTTAAAAAATTAAGTGGAGATTATTTATAAATCAATACCATCATATCCCCACCCTTCGTTCGATTTTAAAAAATGAGCAAATTAAAAGACTTGGTTGCAGATGTGCAATGAGGTTTTACTTTTTGAAAAGAGTTGCTACCTTTAAAAAATTTTATTCAAATTATTACAAAAACTTAATCATTTATTAAAAATAGATATCAGTCAAAATGGTTATTAAAAGATTTGCTTCTTAACTTAACTGTGGGAGTGTTGCCCCTGTTTAAAAATAAAATAAAATTTCAAACAGGGAAATTACATAGGTAATTTAAAAATGTTCCCCCACAGGGGTCCAGACTAAAGGGTTTTAAAATGGTAGCAATTTCAAAGCGTTTTGGAAAGGGTTGCCACCTGCTTTAAAATCCGAATTTAGTTAAAACCATGTTATATACAGTATTAAAATATGGGTGTTAAGAGTGCTAAGAAATATTCAGTATAAACATTAAAATTTTGTTTGATGGTTTGAAGAGAGTTGCCAGCTGTTGAAAATTTTAAATTTAAATGAGTTATTAAGTTAAAGAAATTACTAAAAGAGGTGATTTAATCGTTCATGGGCTTGAGAAGGATTTATATCTGAACTGTTTAGGAGGGTTGCCAGGTCATAAAAAAAAAATTATATTCAATTTAATTTAATTCTTCAAGTAATTGAATTATGTATCAAAGTATCAGGCGAAAGAGCTTTAAAAGATTTCAGTTTGAAAATGCTTCGCAGAAGCTTGCCCCCTTTTTTAAAAACCTGATTTATCTGGCTTTTACAAAATTTTAATGAAATATTAAAATATGAGTGGCAAAAGAAAGAGTTTTAATAAAACTTTAGTTTGAAACTATTTTTTGTTAGGGTAGCCATCTATTCGATTTTTATTTTGAGCGATAAAGTTCGGTAATTGTGTTATCTGCTGTCTCTGTGAAGACAATTTACCCCCTCGGAGCCGCGATTTCACGCCCTTAGACTTTTTTTGTGCCATGCCGTAAAGGACCGATATACTGCGAACAATTTATTAACGATTCAGGCCCTTAAGGCGTATGTCGGGCATTTCTTGCGATAGAGCCAGAAACCGTCACCAAGGTCTGGGTAAACAGAATGCGCTACTGCGAAGACAGTCACATGATGAAGTCGGGTTCCACAACTAATGGGAATATATGTTCTTTCCAATAAATCCATAATATACCGAAAAAATTTGTTTAAGTTAATTTTTATAAATTGTAGCAGTTTCTCATTATATGATTATAATATTATATTGCTAGGTGTAAACATATCATTATTGTATAAAACGTGTAATGTAAAGTTTAGTCTGGCAATGCTTCTATGTAAAGCTGTCTGGCAATGCTTTTATGTTTTGACAGTTCTATATAACTATGTTTGTCCTTTTGCATATTTCCGAATTCCTATACGAATGGCTATAACAGCGAACACTTTGTTCATAATCGTTCATTTCCATTTGGTGATCGGCGTTTTACTTTTTACTATTAAATTTTGTGCAGACTTTTTTTCGACATTCTTTTAAAATAAAAGAAACACCAACAACAAACCAACGGAGTTTTTGTTACTAAACAATCACCTCGTTACATTTTGGCGACCAACATAGTGGCTAATATTCCACAATTTTCTTCAAGACGAAGTCCACGATTGCAAAGCAATATGGCTGTTTCCTTCACTACGGAGCAATTCGAACGGTTGATGCGTGCGGTTTACACCAGCAATGACCGCACAGGCACACTTAGCACATGCAGTGCTCGGTACAATGGTGAACTCAACCCGCCCAAGGTGGAAGAATTCGTTTCCGCAATCTCGACTTTCAAAGTGGTCGAGAAAATTAATGATGCTGACACGATCAAAGGTATGCCAATGCTGCGTGAAGGTGACGCTGCAGAATGGTGGCGTGGCATAAAATATCAAAAGATCATTGGTGATGTTGTACGTATACTGCGCGAAAGTTTTTCACCCCCGAAGCCAGCATGGCTAGTGTATGCTGAAATATTTGATTAGAAGCAACAGAAGAGCGAGCCAACGGACAACTTTATTCGGAAGAAGCGAGCGCTGTTTTCGCAGCTGAAGATTGTTCCTGCCGAAGCAGAACAACTGGACATGCTGTTTGGTATGCTGCACGCCCAAATCCGAGAAAGGGTAAGCCGACAAAGGTGTCGTCCTATGAGGATTTGCTCAACGAAGCGCGAGAAGCTGAGCATTTTTTGAGTGAACGCAAGGGTGGGACTCTCGAGCACGCTGGAAAAAGTGCGAGTGGTGATGTTGCGGTACGCTGTCAATTTTGTCGCAAGAGAGGCCACACGGTAGAAAACTGCTTTAAGAGGCAAAAAGTGGATGCAGCAGAAGCTTAATCCGCCGCAATTGGTCAAGCAGTAGTTGCTAAACCCAAATTCGCTTGCTATGGGTGCAACACGCCTAGAGTTACTCGCGCAAATTGTACAATATGTCGCAATAAAAAGAAACCCGCTGATGGTTTCGTTAATTTTAACTCGGTAACTGCTAATGGTATTGGAAGAGACATTCCGATGGTCGACGTGCAAATTTGGAGCGTGCCAGGCAAGCGTTTTTCGACACTGGTGCACGTACAAGCGTAGCGAGCGCAAATATGAAATCCATAATGGATCTCAAAGGCTGTAAATACCGACAAGTGAAATGTGAAGTCGCATTGGCGGATGGTAGCACATCCACGCAAGAGTGTTTGTCCACTGTGTGCAAAATTTTGATTGGAGGTCGAGATCGGACAAAACACTATATGCCTGAATTGGAGTCATATGGTCCAGAAACTCCAGGCAATCAGTACTCTCTGCACACTATCCAAGCCATATTCAAGGATGCTTTACCAGCGGATGCGGTAACTCCAGACAGGAAGTCGCAGCCAAACTTTCTCGAGCAGGTTGGTATAGTCCTCAACATGGGCCAGCAGTACTGGTATTATGAAAATGATCCAACACAGTCTTTTGATTTCCCGCCTGCCTTGCCTCTTAAGCTGAACCTATTGGAGACTGTGAAAGTGGCGAAAGCATATCCAAAAAGAATGGCAGACGAAGAGACCGAGCGAAAAGTAGATCGGACAAAACACTATATGTCTGAATTGGAGTCATATGGTACAGAAACTCCAGGCAATCAGTACTCTCCGCCCACTATCCAAGCCATATTCAAGGATGCTTTACCAGCGGATGCGGTAACTCCAGACAGGAAGTCGCAGCAAAACTTATGTAAAGGCTTACTGTATAATCCCATGAATCATGACGACAGCGATTTTACAAGACTATACTGATGGCAATGGCTTGAATCATGAACAGAAAATGCAGCTCGACTACGTCCTCCAAAACCACGTAGAAGCATTTGGATGCATAAATGAAGCGACCCCGTACGCTGAGCACAAAATAGAAACAGGCGATCATGAGCCTGTCTTCAGTCCTCCTTATCGACTCTCTTTGCGAAAATGCATGAGTTAAGAGCTGAAATAGGGAAAATGTTGGAAAACGACGTTATTGAAGAGTGTGAGTCTGCATGGGCATCTCCAGTGTTCATGGTACCAAAGAAAGACGGCGCAGTACGGGTATGTGTCCACTACCGAAAATTGAATGCCATAACCGTGCCAGATAGGTCTCCTCTGCCTCGCATCGATGACCTTCTGCACGCAGCAAACAGTACCAAGTTGGATCTTCAAAGCGGGTACTACCAGATCAAGGTTCGAGACCAAGATCGTGATAAAACGTGCCTCATCACACCTTTTGGCACATTATCGTTCAAAAGAATGCCTTTCGGGTTACGGAATGCGCCTGCCACATTCCAACGTCTCATCGATCGCTTTAAAGCAGCAGTTCCGAAAGTTCAACTCCTGGCATACATTGATGATCTTATTGTCTGTTCATCGTCTTGTATGCAACACAATGAGGATATCCACGCCGTGCTATATAAGCTGCGTAAATTTAAGCTGCGCATCAACAATGCCAAAAGCCGATTTTGCTGTGAACGCGTAAAGTACCTTGGTCATATCCTCACAGCCGATGGAATATATGTTGATCCAGAAAAGACTTACGCAATAAGCCAGCGGAAAGAGCCTAAAAATGTGAAATAGCTCATTTCATTCATCCAAACCTGTTCGTGGTATAGACGTTTCATAAAAAACTACGCGGAAATTTCCAAACCACTAACGGACTTAACCAAAAAGAATGCAGTATGGTCGTGTACGCCAGCAGATTATTAACTGCAGCCGAACGAAACTATTCTACAACTGAGCGGGAAGCATTGGCTATAATCTGGGCTTATTCTAAGTTCCGGGGATATATCGAGGGAGCTTAAATCATTCTAATAACTGCCCATCAGCCGCTGAAATCGTTGCTTACAATGAAGTCTCCATCAGGACGCCTCGCACGATGGGCATTGTAAACCCAGCAGCACGACTTCAAAGTTCAATACACACCCGGCAGAAGTAACTGTCTTGCTGATATGCTATCCCGTCCGCCATGTAATGCAGAGGAGCATACCAATTCCCCAACTTGCATTTGTGCCTTCCATGTTGACCTACCCAGGCGAAGTACGAAAGAAATACGCGAGGAGCAACTCCAGGATGAGTACATCAAAACGATTATTGCATCCTTGGAATCTCAAGACGACAACCTCATGTTTCGGACCAATAGAGGTTATGTCCTAAATGACGCAATACTTCATTGCTATAACGCCGACGCTGAAGACGCTCAGCTTGTTGTACCATCCCACGAACGCAAGGCTATTCTCCAAAAGTACCACGATGACGATACCGCTGGCCATTATGGTGTTGAGCGCACTATTTTTCGAATTACTAGTCGCTACTACTGGCCAGGGATGCGTGCTGAAATCGCCAGAAACATTAAGACTTGTATTGAATGTCAACGCTACATGTCAGCAAACCTGAAACCCATGGGTTTACTACAAACGACAAGTAGCAAGCAGCGGTTGATCTGTTTGCGCCTCTACCACAAACTGAAGAAGATTTCCATTGGATACTGATAGCCGAAGATGTGGCCTCGCGCTTGACCGAAATCTTTCCCCTACGCGAAGCAACTGCGGAAGCGTGCGCAAAGACGCTGATAGATGAAATTTTTCTAAGGTACGGTATACCTCGACGACTGAAGTCTGATAATGGTGTCCAGTTCGTGTCAGCGATCATGCAAAAGGTGACGTATTGCATGGGAATCCAGCAGTAGCTAACATCCGTCCACCATCCAGAGGCTAACCCAGTCGAGCGCAGGAATCGAGACCCCAAAGCACAGTTGGCGATTCTTGTTGGCAACGAACACACTAAGTGGAGCCAGCATCTGCCTTCCATCAGGTTTGCGATGAATACCGCCAAATGCCAAAGTACAAGCTTCTCCCCGGCTTATTTAACGTTCGGGAGAGAATTACGCACGCTCGATGATGTCCAGCATGACGTACGACCTATAGAGGAGAGCGAAAACTTCATTCCACAAATTTCGCCTTACCTTCAAAGCATCACTAATACCTTGAAGTCCGTAAGGGAAGTTGAGTAGCGCCTCCAAGATAAAAACAAAGCTTCAGCAGACCAACACAGACGTCCCCAGGAAGAATTCGATATTGGCACACACGTATTAGTGACCACTCACGTTCTGAGTCAAGCAGCAAAGGGCATCACAGCGAAATTTGCCTCAAAGCGAGACGGTCCTTACGTTATCATCCGCAAGATTGGTTCATCCTCGTACGAGAGTGCGTCGCGAGAAAACCTCAACATTCCACTTGGGACCTATCATGTGTCCGCACTAACCCTATATAAGAGCACTGCCGAAGATGAAGCTCCAGCTCCTGCCCAGCCTTTGAACAAGCGTGGCCGTCCAAGGAAGACCCGTGAATAGTAACCGTGACGTGTACTCGGGGCGAGGTTTACACGTCAAAGGGGGAGATTGTAGCAGTTTCTCATTATATGATTAGAATATTATATTGCTAGGTGTAAACATATCATTATTGTATAAAACGTGTAATGTAAAGTTTAGTCTGGCAATGATTCTATGTAAAGCTGTCTGGCAATGCTTTTATGTCTTGACAGTTCTATATAACTATGTTTGTCCTTTTGCATATTTCCGAATTCCTATACGAATGGCTATAAAAGCGAACACTTTGTTCATAATCGTTCATTTCCATTTGGTGATCGGCGTTTTACTTTTTACTATTAAATTTTGTGCAAAGACTTTTCTTCGACATTCTTTTAAAATAAAAGAAACACCAACGGAGTTTTTGTTACTAAACAATCACCTCATTACAAAATAAATATTTTTTTTTTATGGTCATCAGATCTTTTATGTGAAGGTCATCAAATCAGCACCGTCATTCTTAATGTGCTTAAGGTTTTATTTTTTAAAGTTACGATTTTCTTTAACGGTGCAGGATGGTATGAATTTTGAGGAAATGAAAAACCAGCGCCATGTGAGACCTCTCTTCGTTCAAAAAGGGATGGACGAATTTACTTGAAACATTTGCAATATTTATTAAGGTTTGTGAATAGTGTTGCCATCTGTTTAAAATGTTAAACTCAATTTCGGCGTCTTAACGCCATGCGGGCTCACTAGTTTAATAATATTTCAAATTAAAAATCATTATCAGTGCTTGGTAATTTTTTTACTTACGTGGCTCGCACCTTTTTGATTAAAAGTATATAAAATAGTAATGTTAAAGGAGACTTCATTGAAATTGTTCTTTTTATTTTAAAATAAAAATCACGAGAGCATTATGTTGTTATTTTTTAATTTTCTTATTTTGAATGCAATCTAGCGATTTAAAAATCTAATTCTAAAGAATGCTCTTTTTCAAATAAATCTTTTTATAATCGCCAACTCGATGTGAATTAATTGTTCTCATAACTTAACATGCAAAACAAAAACAAATTGGGGAAAATAATTTTTCTTTTGCTTTATAATTTTGGGAATATTTGTTCACATAAAATTCGTGATTCGTGATGAAATTCGTGAAAATTTACTTTAAAATTTCTCATAAGATTTTGCAAAAAATTAGGCTTTGTGGTTAGAGTATCACCATTAACTTCAACAATTTCGATTATTTAAAATTTCCAATGTATGCAAAAAACTCTAATTCGGCTTCCGCAGACCGCCCTCCGATAAGCAATTTGCATAAGTATAACTTTGATCCCTTTCTTCATCCGTTCTGAAACCTAGTTTGGTCAACCCCATTTTCGAGATTATGCATTAATTTTCAGGTTCATCATATTCGACATACTCAAAGATGGCAGGGGGCTAATGCTTGGTTGCTTACTAAAATTATAGTTGTGTATATTCAGGAAGATGTGATATGGCAAGGTGTGGAAATTAAGGTTGCAAAATGGTCCATGTGGAGCGATTGGTTAACCGGACAAGCAACTTGTTTCCCAGGCTTGCCTTTGTTGATATATTCCCGATTGTAGTTGTTAAGTTGTGGCAGTTGGACTTGCAAAAATGTTCACACTATTGCAGCGGAAAGGACAACAGCGTATGCACATCGCGTCAGCGCTGAAATATTTGGAAAGAGATTTGTTGCTTCTTTGATCTTACGCTTTTCGTTGATAGATATTTGAAGTTCGTCGTTGTGTTTTTAGTCCAGTTTTAATGCAGGATCGCCAATATATCATGATGAAATTTTATTATTCAAAATTTTGAATTATTTATTAGAACATTTTATGTTTGTAATTTGAAGACTTTTATTTTAATGATTTTAAAAACTTAGAAATTCTAATAAAATCTAAGAACAACAGAACAAATAAAAATTGTACAGGTATAAAAGAACAAGGTATTTATACCCTACATCAGGTAGCATGAATTTAATGAAATGTCATAGTTTTATTAAAATTCAAATGGTTAACAACAACAACGAATGTCATTAAATGACACTACCTTCTTTTTTGTATCATGGTATGGACAATGACCGAAACGAAGATAGCCCTACATGTGAGTAACGTGTTGCCAGAATACTTTCATGATGTGTTGCCAGATGTTCAAAGCGTAAGAATATTATAAAGGCCAATATAATAAGTTATATTATTTTATAAGTTTAATAGCCATTATAAGTATTAGCGTAAGAATATTATAAAGGCGAATAGGAACATGTAAAGAATACCCACCGTTTCGCTAGAAAAAAAAACTAAAAATAGGAGTCAAAATATAGGAGTTGGGTCCGCAGTATTTTTGCGTAGGCGGCCTTCGGCCGCGCTTTATGATTATAACCCCTACCAAATAGAATTCTAATTTTGGTGTGCACCAACTGGGGCTACCGCCCTAGTGATGTAGCTAA